TCTTGCTTCAGTCGTCCCGTAGGATTTTGTTCCGGATGATTTACCCGTTAATTGCTGACCATCAAGAGACTGAATTGTGTGGGCCTTCTTCCTAATGAAAACCCTTTTACTTTTCTCGTTCAATTCATGTTCTGCAATTCCAGATACCCTGGCTACAGTAGAACGCAAGACCCGTCGGCTGTTTGCACTCCCACAAGCAACTTGCTTTTTATTTCGACTGCTCCGGTAACGGTCTTCAATTAATTGATTAAATGATCCAGGCGTAACTGTCAGATTGCATGGTGTACTTGTGACAGAAACTGGGGGTCTCTTTGCAACTCGGGTCACAGTACCATTGTCACTCAAGATTTGGCATTGAAATTCATTCATATGTCCCGTCATGTTTAAGGTGACCATCACCGGATTATGTGATGCATCACCTATCTCAATATTATTAGAGTTTTGTTGTTTCACTTTGAAGAGTATTCCGAAATAGCATTGTTCCCGTGTTGTTATCCAGTAGGCTGTTTTAGTCATGATCCCTTTAGACAGCTGGTGCACGTGATACGCTAGTAGCAGTTTTGCATTGGGATAGACTAAAGCAGGACTCGGGTGAATCAAGTTCAATTTCGGATATCGCGAAAGATGTTTGATGTGCAGATTTGCCGCATCTGTCGCGTATGAACAACAGACCAAGACGAACGCGTTTGTTCTGCATTGCTCCCCAAACCATGTGCACTGAATCTGGAGAGAGATAAAGCAAATTCATGTATTCAAACCACCCATTTAGTAAAAGTACCCAGCCGTTAGAACACAGTTAGCTGGGATGTTGAATTCGAATCTAGTGAAACTAAGCAGTATGAGCGGGTTAAACTGTCGGAATTTGAAAACCAAAACAAAATAGTGATATTTAACTCTAAAGGTAATTAATTTTTTCGGTTTATGTTCTTTTGCTCTTTCTTTGAATAAAATCAATTGGTTTTAACGGTCTGAAGAAAATGGCACACGCGAAATTTCAAGACGCTAATCAAATAACTGGAAAATGTTGAGGAACAAGTTGTTTGGAGATAGAAAACAAAACCTAAAAGCAAACTGTGGGCTTAAAAATACAAACTGCTCGTGTGGTAACAACTGTTCACTTGGAATTCTATACCCATTCGGTATTTTTAATGGTCAAATTACGCATATGCTAAATGGTCTGCGATAAATTACAGATCGAGTTTATCGCAATATTTAACATTTGTTTGTTTTGTTTCGTGGATGAAGCCGCAATTTTACATGCAATTATTTCCGTTTCATTGAATTTTATTATGTATCATATTTGAGTACAGGGTATTATTCAGTCGGAAATTGTCTAATTTCACAAGTCGGAAAGAATATTTTCCGTTCCTAGTCAAGTTTTCGGACGTTATCAGCAGCTAAACCGAATAAAGAGTAACTTCATAAGTGAAAGTAAGTTGCAGAGAAGTGTTATCCTATTCGTTGGCCCATCATATCATCCAATAGTTCTTTCCATGTTCCGTCGGAATTAGGTGTTGAGTAAAATGATAAAGGCTGTTTCTATTTATCGATCAGCTATCTGTTAGTTTGGTGGTGTTGTTACGTGAAGTAATTTTACTGAGTGGATAAACAATGACGTTTTTAATTTTCAGTAAACATTTGCCGAATCTATACGGATTGAAAGCGAAAAAGTATTTCAGATTCGTTTAAATGGAACCGATTGTTTAAATTACATGTGTTCCGAGAACCGGTCAAAATATATGAGAAAACATTACTACTTATTTGATGCATACAGTTGCATACCATCAACCCAATATCAGTACGGTAACTCACGTTCAATCAAGAACCTTTTTAAAGAATGTACTATTGAACGTAATAACACATCCACTAATTCCGATCGATTTGTATGGTGCGTTCAAAGATGGCCCGGTTCAAAATATCACACTATAAGAAAAACATTTACGGCCAAACTGCTTCCTGTTTTGCCAGTTGTCCCTGGTATTGGGCTCTAGTATCCCGATACAAAAGACAAGAAAGAATACCACAGGGAAATCATTAGTATTTGAAAAATGAACACAGTTACACAAAATTAAGGTAGAATTGAAACTAATTGGAAGGTAAATCGCGTTGTCTTTTATTTTTGAAAGGAGTACCAAATGCTGTCACTGTGCTACTTGAGCAACTCAAGAATGAAGCAGCGTTGGATAGGTCACTCGGTACTGGATGTCTTAACAACTTAGCATCCTGAATAGGTGAAAATTCAACGGACTCTGATTTGGAACAAGTATATTTTTCACCATCGACAGATAACCCACAATCACTTCGCTATCGGAAAGGACAAGGACATTTAGGATTATGATTTCTGAAGTTCAATGATGGGTTTTCTTTACAACAGTATTCTTCATTCGCTTTACTTGTTGAAATCAAAGGAAAAGTGTTATTTGTTTGCTTTTCTGTTTCACTGATGTGCAGCTCTTTATTGGATCCAAGTAGTGAGGTACCAAGCAGTGCGTTGGGCCGTCCTTTTTTATCTACCTTGATGTGGTCTGTTCCTGTAGAAAGTACGGTAGCATCTTTTGAAGCACTGTTGTGAGCTTCTGTGTTGTCGACAGAATGACTGAAGGTTGGATTAGTTTGTACTGAATTAATATTCTTCCTGTTCTGGTTGTCTTTGGTGGCCTGATCTGGTCGGTCGTGTTTGTTAGGCAGAACACCAAACGGGTTTGATGAACTTTGGTTACGCAGCGCTGGTCTCAACTCGGCAGTCAGCGGTCCTCTGAGCGATTCATGATAAGGGACCATAGACCAAGGCCAAAATCTGATTTCAGGCCCCTTGGGGTTCGATCCACCGGGGAAGTAAAATGCTTGAGTTGCATAAGGAATGAAAGGCGGATACCGTTCGTAATCTGTTTGACAAACGTGGTCAAACCCGCTGAAGTGCTCGGAAGCTGCGCTCGTTAACTCCTGAAAGGCACGCAAGTGAGCTGGGGGGCTATTTGGAGGAATCACTTTCAGCAACCAAGGCCATCCATCTACAGGTGCTTTTATCACTTCAGCAACTGGAGCCGGTGGTAGACGAGAAATGAGTACAAGTTGTTCTCTTTCTCTAGGAGACAATTCGTCAAATGGAACTGCACGCAGCCTAGTTAGTAGATCTTCCATAGATGATGTCCTGAATACATTTTTGCCAACAAACTCGTGTGAAGTGTAGGCGATGTCATCATCCGGACCTTCTAATGACAGAAGATAATGCATTTCTCTGCGTTGCTCATCAGACAACAAATGAGGCGGTTGGGCCAATAGCCATGCTAGTTTAGATTCTTGGAAATTTGTACGCCTTCGAATGTCCGAAGAAAAGCGTTCACAAAATATTACTTTCAACTGATTCAATAACTGCAACTCGTCGGGTGACAATTTATCCGGGGGCTGAGATGCTAACCATCTGAACTTCTCTTCTAACGAGTCTGTTCGTTCTAGATTTTCCGGTAGTAATCTGGACAGATACTCTAATAGTTCTATCTCGTCTTGCATCAGACTTTCATATGGTACCGCTCTTAGTTGTTTCAGATGTGCTTCCATTAATCTTGTCCGCCTTTGCGAACCAGACTTTTTATACATTGATAGCAGCCTGCATGCTGGCTGACTGTTGATTAAAAGGTTAGCCAGTGTTTTGCGCTCCATTTCAGTCATCGTTTCATACGGAATAGATAGAAGTTGCTGAATCTTTTCCTGAATGGGCTGAATGCGCACATTTACCTCATCAGATATCGATTGGGGAATACTATTTAGGTAGTTTATCAACTCTTTTTCCTCATCTGTCAGAGTATCGGGCGGCCTAGCAAGAAGCTGAGCCAATCGGATTTCCATTNCATTGATGCAGTCCGTTTCAATCCTATGGAGGGTATGGGTTGTGTTTCCCGCACCAACTGAAGCAACCTCTCTTGCTCCTTGGCGGTTAATTGTTCAAATGGGCGACCCAGCAATGCACTTAACTCATCTTCCATGGATGATGTGCGGAAATAACGAAAACCGGTCTTTGGTGGATTATTCGCCATTTGTTTCAACTGATGCAATAATTCTTTTTCCTGTTCTGTTAAACTTTCATAAGGTTTCCTCAGCAGTCTGGCCAACTCCAGCTCCATGAAGTCACTGCGTTTTGCTGTTGGTGGAAGAGAAGTGAGCAGCTGTTCCAGATTGCATTTCCCTTCATCAGTCAAATTTTCTAAAGGCTTGGAGAAAATAGTGTCCAATTCCGTTTGTTTATTTCCAATTTGTTCTTTGCATGCTTCAGACGTGGAGTCTAGAAATTCAATTAATTTCTTCTGCTCTTCGAAACTCCGCACTTCGTATGGCTTTGAAATCGCCCTGAGAAGTTCCGCCTGAAACTCTACCTTTTTATTTGGGTCCAATTTTCCCAACTCTTCAATTAACTTAGATACATTCCGTTTTTCCTCTTCCGTCCAATAGCCATATGGTTTAGAGAATAACTTTTGTAACTGTTTCCGCATATCCTCCGTTCCATGTTGCCACTTTGTCTCTAATTGGGTTGTTAGTCTTTGATCTTCCTGTTCGGACTCTGTCTGTTGTTTCGACATCAGGTGCTTCAGTTCGGATGCCTCTACTGGTGTTAACTTTGTAATCTCTTCTATAAGCTGCAATGCTTTGGAGTCGAACGGTAATTTATTTAATAGGTTTTGGAGTGTTTCCTTCTCTTCTGAACTTAACGAGTCAAATGACTTCGCCAGCAGTTTATCCAACATGGCTTTTTCTTCCGGACTTCCAGCCCAATTTGATAGCGCCAGTTTCTCCTCTGAACTCAGTTTGTTCATCAGTGAATCTACCTGCACTTCATCTTTAGTCTCAACGGGGACGGGACCCTGATTAAGCAAAGTGGATAGTAAATACTTTTCTTCTTGACTGAGTTTTTCGTAAGGTTGCGATAAAAGATGATTGAGTTTTGCTTGGCCTTCTGCACTATGTGATACTTCAACGGAAGATATGTCTCTTGCTGTCTGCTCCAGCCTTTTCTTTTCTTCTGGACTCAGGGTTTCAACTCGACATGAGAGAAGGTCACCTACAGTTTGTTCTGCTTCTGGTGGGGATGGTTTGATCAACTGCGCTAGTTGACTTCTCTCATCTTCCGTTAATGACTCAAATGGTTTTGAAAGTAATTCTCGTAGTATCAACTGATCCTTTGGATCTCTCTTTGTATCAGCACTTCCTAATTGAGCAATCAGCTCCTCCATCACTCGTCGTTCTTCGGGGGTCAAACTCTCATAAGGCTTCGCCATTAGCTCGTCCAACTGTGCTTGAAGTTGGATTCGTCGTTGGTACTTTTGCTCTTCGGATAACCCGTAAGACTTTGCTGATGTTCCTGTTCCCAGTGGAAACAGACGAACCCAAGAATATACTGATGTATATTGATTTAGTCCAGTATTCATCAACGGAGGACCACAAGAAGGTGAGGGATAGGGCAGGTATCCAAGTCCGCTGTGTGCAGTTGAGTGAATTAGTGGGAACCTGAAGGGCTGCACTGAATCTATCCCTACCGTCGGAACACCAATGGGATAACCACCATGAGTCAAACGAACCATGTATTCCATTGAACTATTTGGAATCACTGTAGCTGTTGGTATTCCACCCAGTTCTGATGAAGCCGACTGAGTATTTGACACACCACCAACAGTTCCGGGCACTCTCCAAGGACTGTCATTTCCAGGTATGGTAGTGGGCGTTGTGGTCGGATAGAAAGCTTGGGGCATCTGATGTGCGATCCACACTCCGATTTCGGTATTATAAGGTATGAACACAGGATAGGAGTAAGGGTCGAAACTCGGATAAGGAGGCCCAAACGGTGGTCGAGGTGGGCGAACATACATTTGTGGATCGAATGAGATTGGCGGGGTAGAATGCTGGAAATTGGCCTCCGGTGGATTATTTCTATGTTCATTTATTCCAGGTATTTGAATATTGCCATTAGATTCTTTCTGTTGATCGTTATACTCAACGTTTTCAGTTGGGTTCTCTTTTGTCAATATGCTCTGGTCAAATCCCTCGGCATGAATCGATCCTTTAACGGTTGTGGGTTGATGAGAGTCTGAAATTAGGAGAGTGGTACGACCAGGATCATCATTATGCACACATTTATAGGGCCTACATCTACTGGTTTTCATTAGATTTCCTTCGGCTTTATTTAGTAACAAGGAAGTGCACTTCTCACAGTAAGTTTCGGTATCACAGTATGATTGAGAACCCAACCGTCCGAAGTTCACTTCATCGCAAAATACGGTACTTTTGCCCGGCACCCTGAAATCGGTCTGCGGCTTGTATTCTGTTTTATTCTCAATATTCTCGCGAAAACCTCCTACATCCCGTACGACTTTTTCCTTTTGGATTGATAAATTCGTACCACTCAGGGAAACTTGAGGACTTTTAGTGACACGGACTTTGCGCAACGCATGGTCGCAATCCATCGTCATTTTCCAGTTGCTTGATCGGTTTTCTACAGTAGACTGATTCAGGTGCAAGGTTGCATCCGAACGCTCGCCTAGAACAGAATTCATTAGCTCGGCGCCGGAAACCTTGGTATCGAAAGTTTCCCCGGGTTTAAAACTCCTCTCAGGCCAGTCTGCTCGCTGCCATTCTGTATCCTTACATACATATCTCTTGTATTCCGAATTAAACTTAAAGTTTTCCACATTTCGTGTTGTTGTAGGTCTCTCAGTGACTGACGTTCCCACTAGATTTGCCGTATTTTCGTTCTTATTTTTTGAATCGTGAAAATCGGAGATCCTTTGCGGTATGCTTTCAAATGAATTCACAGCCATTGTATTCCGTTGGAGATTCTTCAAATCAGCTAACAGCTTATCAGATACCAGTATATTTTGGCGGTTGGACTTGTCAGTGTCATGATTAGGCTCTTGACATAATAATAATGGCGGGGTAATGCGATTCAAATCCTCCTCAGTTGAATGACTGTCTTTGAGTCTCGTATCTCGCTCATACCTTTTCAAAGTGTCAGTGACTTGATTGCCTTTATCTAAAAATTCCAAAGGTGCATCTTGTTGCTCAGGAATACATGTGTGTGAAGCCTCCAGATTCTGCATGGTAAGACCATAATCAGTTGCTTCTGTTGGGTACTGTGTGTTCGAAGAACTCCTTAATTTAGCCATGACTGGTGTCGTAGTTTTCTCGGCAGTGGAATGGAAAAATGCATACTTATTCCTGTGAAAGTCTTTAGTACTGAGAGCGATTATTGATGGGACGCTATGATTTATTTTAAGGTCAATATGATCGTTTTCAGGGGACCCATCTGTTGGAACCACTTTAACCCCAGCCGTTGGTATAGATGAAATTGGTTTCACTGGCAAATTAAATAAAAGCTTAGTATTCATCAGATCATTTGGAAACTTTTTAGATGAATCCAATCCATCAATAATTCTGGACTCTTGAGTATCTGGCCGCTGTTCGAAGGATCGATGCATTGATCTCACTTCACTCAAAACGCTACGTACCATGGAACTGCTACGAACCCTACGAGCCAGGTCAATTTTCTTCGGTGGGATCCGTGGTTGCACTGTGAAACCATCCACACTGTTTTCCAAATCTAGCACGATTCGATTCAGTCCACCCATGAAGGATTTATTACCAAATCGCGAGCCCAGGTGAAAGCGACCACCTACAACGCGTCCAGATCCAGTGGGATTAACCGAACCGCCTATTCTTCCGTCCATACTGCGCACCTTGTTGCGAAGGGGACGAAGACTCTCGCGTGAACTTCTTTTGCACGATATAGGCCATTCTTCACTGAGACAATCAGGAGTATCGGAAAAATGAGACAGTTTAATTTGTCGCCGGTATGAATTGATTCGACTAGGTGTGGTTTGGAGTGGATGCTTATCATCGTAGAAATATCTTGCTACGGATGACCGACGTCCTCGGGGGGTAACGATTGATGAAGTAGTGTAGAAAACATTTTCCAAATCTGGACCTAAGAAGATTTTCATGGTTGACTGAGAGTTTATCGGTTGTAATTCAACTGGACCCATTAGATCGAGCAAAGAGTGAGCGGATAGTGGATGATGCAAGATATGTCCGGATCTAGTACGCGACCATGCAGAACTGGATTTTCGAGAACTCAAACGTTTTCTTCTATGATCGTCACACTCTGTAGCCATAGTCCCTGCTTCACTGGCAGACTGCGAACTGCCGTATCTCACTTTTCTATCAACAAGAACGGGAGTCCCAGGGTTTCCTTCTACCCTACCAAATACATCTTCATTTCGATGGTTTTGTTCACGATTCCTGTCTGCTACAATATCCTTGGACATGTCTTGTTGTTTTAATTTGAACACGAACCCACCAGTCGATTCTTTTTTCCTCCATGCCCTAACCGATTCTGCCCTCATGTTTGTTACAGAAGTTACAGTATCGGAAGACGAACGATTGGATATGTGATACCCAAGAGACCAGTGCTTGTATACCTGTCCTCTTATGCCGCTCCGGTCGAAGCGATTAGAGCTTTGTAAACATTCGGACCACGCTGGAATTTCTGATGCATTTATGATGGTCTCGTTCCATGAATTGTGGTACTTGTTCGCCACCTGAATGCTCGAGGTCACTGGTTTGGGCTCTTTTGTAATGGCTGGTAATTTGGAAATCATTGTGGGGCTAGTAGTTTGGGACGGTTGATGTGTTTCCCGGGCGATTTCTTCTACATTAGGATCCATCAATGATTGTGCTTTTTCTGAATCGCGAAGAACTGGACAGGTTACCGAAATACCATTGCACATATGACTTTCTCTCTGATCAGTCGATTCACGTTCTTTTGGCGGATGCTCTCCTGATGTCCCGGATTTATCCGTAAGACAACTAGTATTGTTTTGGTTAGTTCGTGACTTGTTAACCCGGATTGTATTCGCAGTGAGGTGATACAATGCATTTTTTGCAACAGAGTTATTTGTGATACCTTGAAATCCAACGGTTTTGAGCCCTTGAACAACTGGTGTAAGCGAATTAGTACACTGGTATGATACCATGCGTTTGGACCCAACCATATTGGTCCAAATTTCAGATTTCTCTATTGCACGATTGCACGAGGTTTTAATGTTTTCCGGCTTATTTCTTCTTCCAAGCAGTACCTATTTCCGTTATTGTTTTGAGAGCTGAAGACGCAATGATTATTTATGCATCCATTCGTGTTGACCGAACGGTAGAGTTTTGAGGGCTTTCGATGAGAATCCAAATATTCACCTTGCACGCCTAATAAGGGACGCGAATGAGAGTTTGCAGTTGATTGATTTGACGGTCGGAGGGTGCACAGGTTACTGTGAGTGAATGATATCATTGAATCCCCTTTATTTTTATTAGTTTCATTCCAGCGGCTCGATTTTATAAAACATATCCATTTCCCAAGAAAGGATGTTAAATCGGTTGCAGTCGTTCTGCTCCAACGACACAATGACAACCCGATAAACCTAGCATTTTCCATAGGAATTTTCAGAATACTTGTGTTGCCACTCATAACGTTAAACTCTGGTTCGAAAAAGCATTGAGTTGCTCGCCATATCGCACTTGAGACATTGAATTTTGGCAGTAACAGACAAGTTGATCCTACGTTTGAAGAGACTTTTTTGATCAGTGTGAATTGATTGATATTAGTCCGCTTGATAGGCCAAATGTATGTAGTTAGATCTTTTGATAATTTCATTGTGATCCCTTTGATCTGTTTACACACAGTCGCAGCTGTCCAACAAATGTCTCGTAATCTTCCAAAGCACAAATCCAAATTCAAAAACGCCCAACTTTGTTTCTGCAACAATGCTTTCTTGTAAGGATTCCGGACTACATGACAGATCTGTGCAATAAGAGAGGGAACAATAATCATAGTGATTCAACTGTTGCAGAAGGAAGAGAATAAAATGAGATCCACTAAATGTGGTCTCACTCGTTATTTTTTTTGTTGCACCATCACGATCATTGTACGGCAAACGTAGCAGTGAGGTCACTTATATGAGCTCACCACATTTGTATAGTCGTAAGGAATGTTGGATGTGAATAAGAGAAGCTCGATAGAAAAATAAGTAGAGGACTCGCGTAAAAGACTACATTTTTGGCAAGACCTGGACTGAAATTTGAAATGCGAATCGTGTGTAAACGAATCGAGCCGGCCCTCAGCAAGAAAAGCAGGAACTAAGATCTAGCAACAGTGCCACTGAGCCAGTCTATCTGTTTCGTCCTGATTTTAAATCCAGATATGGCCTAATGGAATGAATCTAATGTGTCAACCATAAAGTCCGTTATCCCTAAACTGAGTTTTCGATCACGACATTTTTTATTTTGGAACTTCACATGCATTGTTTTCTAGTGCATCGGGGACTCTGATGTTTGTTATCTTTTCAACTTAAGTTTGTAAATCATTGGGACCTGTGTTAAATTGTAAGGTTTGTAAGAATGACCAGTGCGAACCGGTCTCAAAACTGTGGAGGTTATCAGACGAATTGTTCAATAACCTTCCCGTTTGACCGGTTCCCCTAAGCAGAAATATTTAAAAATATAGTGGTAAATGGTCTAATCTAGAGATTCTTGGAGGATTCCTATGCAGAAATTTGTCGATTTAATCAAACCAGTGGTAGGTATACTTTCTCTCTGTATGGTCATGTGATAACCAACGTCAACCGAGAGAGATGGGTTTATCACGCACCTGCAAACAGTATATTTCCAATCTCTTGGTATGGAACATGTTAATACTGCTCGGGGTATGTAATTCGGCGGACTGCGTTTGGAATTCATTACACAGACACTCTGTTTACCATGAGTATAACCGTGGTTAATTCTGTTTGTACAAATTACTCCTCTGCAGATATATTTGTTCACTATAATTATCCGTACCATATACGTGAACTCCAAATGGTTTTATGCCAGTAAATTAGTTTATTTATTTATCGGCGTAACAAATATCCAAGAAACCGCGAGCTCCAGGAACCAGGTAGTCACCCGGTGGAATTTACTTGATACCCGAGGTTTATTCTCTTTATTGCTCGACTAGTTGTCTCATCGGATTCGTGTAGTGTTGCATAGA